CATTTCTGCAAATCATATAGATTACATATTTTGGAATTCATATCAACATCAGAGCTTGCATTTTCTTTTCTCAGCTACAACTATATCTTCACTAACCCCATGATCGTGCTTTAAAAATATGGGTCAGTGCTAGCTGTATGGGAAAAAAACCAAGTCCAAAACACAAGCTACTGCAGCAATAAAAATAACCCATGATGACAACGATACCAAGATTTGGACATGTGAATCTGCAAGCAAACGAGACGGTGCAGCTCAAAATCAAATCAAACTTTTTTTTTCTTTGATTGAGAATCCCCAGCATATATAAATCATCACAAAGTTTCTTTGTAGCTCAGGCTACATGGAACCTCTTATCCATGAAAAAATCTGTAAGTTTTTTCCCAGATTTTAGTTAGAATGTATTGTTGTTCTGCAAAATTTGAAGTTTATATGTTGTGTTGTTTGAGAGAAACAAAAAAGACAAATGCGTCTGCACGGATCGCGATACAGAAATGGATGGTAAAGATAAGGGGTACCATGTAGCCTGAGCTACAGAAAACCACACTCATCAATCATAGCCAGCCAGCGTAATTCAGAAAAGTAAGGAAAAAGGTGTAGTCTAGAGTGGACCATGATGCTAATGACCGAAAATTTGAAGTCCAAGCCACTGCCACCAAGTCTCCATCCAGGTCCTGATCAAGCTGCAATGAGCTTTTACAAAGAATTCAATTTCTACCTCATGTTATTTGGGTTTATTATTCCCCTATTCATTCTTGATGACGAGGGTTTACTATGATTCATTCGTACAGCAGAGAGCAGACATCTCAACTTGTCAATTCAGTTTCACAATTGTTTTTTCAGTGTCGCCAGCAGCATCCATGCATGGCTTGGGTGTTAATCAGTGCAGTAAGTGCAGAGGCAGCGCGTGTGCGGGGGCAGCCGACGAAGAGGTGGTCGATCGGTCGCCATATATCTTCAACAGAAGAGCAGGGCAGTGGTAGCATTATTAATGCACTTGTTCAACAAAAAGGTTGCATTCACACACTGAGTGCATGCTGATGGAGCTGGTTGGCACCATGACACTACTCTGAATGCGATGGTGCTCCTTTAGGAGAAAAGGAGAACGCTCAAAATGATGCCAATGCTAGCGCGAGTATCCTGTCCTCAGCCAAAAGCTGAGTAAGTTTCTACCGGCCAAACTAGTGCAAGCACCACCATGCTCCGTGGTGTGTGGACGTGTGAAATGGGCTACTAGTGCTGTGCTACTGATTTGTTTTGTCAATTCTGGCATGCCACTGACCAGAGTATGGGTCTTCATATTGTTTGTTTGTTTTGTAATCCTCTTACATTTCTCATTTTATCGATCACACCCTACAAATTTGATATGCTGAGTCCAGAACTATACTGCTAAAAACAGAAATACTTCGTGTGGATAAAAGCAAATAGTTATTCGTCCAATTTTGTGAGAAGTACAGGTCCTTGTTTGTCATACTCCACTCCATATATCCTCCGTTTTCACCCACAAACATCATCGGCTGGTCCCTTGGTCGGTACTTCACCAACCCAAGGCGTAGCTACCGCCAATGATGTATCATCACAGATGTTCGGCCTTCATTTCACTAGCAATTTGCAGCTTCAGCCATCTTATCAGGTAACGTAGCCTTATGATTTCTCCACACCCTTCTTCCATTACTACTCTTTGTTCGTGCACTCCTTGAGATTCGCTAAATAATGGAAGCTAAACTTCATATATCTATTACGAGGAAGTGTTATGGAGCCACCTGAACCGAAAGAGGCGCGCCACCTTGATGGTAGCCACGCTTCAGGAGTCAGGAAAGGACTCTGGGAAGGAGACTCGGATTAGATCTGTTTTTAAATTTAAGCATGGATCATATCAGTTTATTCCCTGCTTAATTGGAATGATTATATATAGAGCTGATACTTTAAAGATAGCAAACTACTCAAAGGCTACCAACTAAGAATATTTATCCAGCCATGTACAACACATACATAACAGGAGGACTCAGAGTAAAAACATAAAAACATAGTAGGAGGGGCATGAACCTATGAGTTCTTGCGCAAAATTGAACTATCCAGTACTATCCCAAGATTTAGTGCATAGAAAAATAATAAGTGCATGTCTGGTAAGATAAATTGGAGAATTACAGGCAGCCTTAATTATATCCATCAAGGTATTTCATAAAATCATTGATCAGATTAGAGGTAGAAACTGTAGTGGCGCAACAGAATGGTTAATGCTTAGTTTTGAGGAAGTTCTCTCATCTAGAAGAGTTGAGCAGACCAGGAAATAAAAGAGTTGGAGCAATGAATGATCATTGTTTGGCTGCAGCAGAACCGGTATTTGCATAGACGACTTGATTGAACCATATGAACAGATCCTTTGAATTTCATGGTTCCTGATAACGGGAGTCACTAGCATCCTCCTTGTAATTATTGTTCTTCAATTTCAATTCAAAAAGTAAATGTTAAGGATTTTTTCACCCGACGCTCACAAAGTTCACAATTTCCCGTTGGCAACTGTTTTGTTAACATTTGGATTTGAATATCCCTGGTCTTAAACAAGTTCCCGTGCATATAAAACTTGATAACCTTTATTTGTTTTCAAATTATTAGCTTTCTATCGCTCTTGTAGGGATTGTTAATTTGTAGTTGCTGGCTACACATGATTTTCTTCCTAACCGTCCTAGTCACTTCAAACGCTGATGGGTCATTTCTTATTGACGAATACCCCGCATTGCTGCAAATTAGGTCATCACCCACTTTGACACTAATTATTTTTTCCTTTTTATTCAAGTTCAGGTGGGGTCCCGTTGTGCAATCGCCACACCAATAAGACAAGACAGTACACAAAATCAACTTTCCTTCCTGATTCTTGAAATCTCTGGTCTTAGTCTGATACTCTTGCTACGTACAATTGTTCTTGAAACAATATATCGAAGAAAATAACTCTCATACATTTGATCTTAACAGTCAGCAATGGCTTACCAAATCCAGCTACTATTTGTCCACCTATGCCTTGCACTGATAGCTATCATGTTGCTTCCCGTGGTGTCTGGCGACTGGAATGGCTCTGAGCAGCTCCGCCTAAGATGTGGCGCCACCAGCAGTGCCACTGATTCTGATGGTCGAACATGGGATGGGGACGCTA